ATGGAAGTCATCACTGACCTTGGCTGGGAGCAGTTCAGGGAGAAGTGGCAAGGAAATTAATGGGAGCCCCAAACTACAAGTCCGCATGGGAGGCTGTATGTGACCATTAGATTAAAACACAGGTTTTGTTTCTTTCTTTTTTTTACTTTTATTTTTTTGAATTTGTAGTTATTTTAATGAGTAAAAGAAGGTAGTCTGTAGCACAGCAAATGGATCTTTCTTGCCACAAAAATGAAAACAGCGTGTCTGTTGCTTTTTAAGTACCACTTTGGATTCGTGCTTTTTGTTGAGCAGGGAGACAGAGGAGCCAAACAAACGCGAGGTGACTGAGCCAGAGAAGTCAGAGGCCAGCTCCTGTAAGAAAGCCCAGAGCTCTGCAGGAGTCAAAGGGATTTGAAGAGCTACCATCAGAGCTGCTCAGGGCTCAGTTCTTCCTCGCCAGCTAATTCAGCTTGTATGGGCCCAGGTCACTAATCCAGCTGGCCCGTTGATTCTGGCGAGTAAAGGCTTTGCACACATCAGCCCCCGAATTCTCATCGGAACCAAAGCGAGGAAGCTAAGGAAGGCAAGCAGCCCTATAGCTGTGTGGCCTCCTCCCAGAGGAACTGGCTCCCCTTCGCCTTCTCATTCCCTCCCTCCGTCCCTCCCTCCGTCCGTCCCTCCCTCCCTCCCTCCCTCCGGGGAATACCCTGACTGCATGCCACTCATCTGCATCAGCAATTAACTGGCTACTCCGACAACCCTGTGAGGCCCAGAGATCAGCAGCCCCTAGGCAACAGACACCAGCAAATGGCAAATGGCGCAGCCACCCTGGAATGCAGGCCTGGTGTTAATTCCACCATCCTAGCCTAGCTGAAGCAGCAAGAAAAACTAAAAGAGGGTCAAAATGAGCCCTGTTCACACTTCGGCACTATTTTGGTGGCAGTGAATTCCGCACTGCGACAATACTTCCTGCAGGGGGGTTGTTGTTGTGTGTGTCCATGTGTGCAGAGCAGAACTGTGCTCCATAGGGTCTTCAATGGCTGTGGACTTTCGGAAGCAGATCGCCAGGCCTGTCTTCTGAGGCACCTCTGGGTGGGTTCGAACAGCCAACCTTTTGGCTAGCAATGGAGCCCTTAACCGTTTGCCCCACCCAGGGACTCCTCCTGCAGAGAGTACCCCCTCTAATTTGGAAAATGATCACAAAACAGAACCACCTAGCAATGCCAGCCAGATGCTATCTACCCTCTCCTTTAAACAGCTGTTCACTGAGCAGAGGCCTCTCGTGTGTGGGATTCAAGGGCAGCAGCAGTTTTCAAGCTTGTTTTTTTGTTTTGCAGCTTCAAAGCCCTCTGACACCTTATGAGAAGGCAGAGGAAGAAAATGAAGGGAAGCAGAAGTGGAAACGGGCTGAAGGCTAGAGTAGGGGTCCAGGCCCACTCATTCCTGCACAGATCCTCTGCCCTCCCCCATCTCCAGCAAGGAAATCAACACAACTGAAGCCAGGTACTGGTAAAGGCAGCGAGGAGGGGTACTTGCGGCACGGACAGACCCCAAAGCCTGTCTATAGCCCCAGACTGCACCCTGCTCCAAGCATGGCCATCAGCATAGGGCATGGGGCTCTTGGGAGACAGCCAGCGGCCCCCACCAAGGCAGAGGCGCAGGCTCCGATTTCCTTGTGAACCTGTTCAGGATCAAACCCAAGCAACAGAAATCCAGCCATCGCCCAGGGCCCCCAGGGATGCTTCTAAATGTTCCCTGCTGCACCAAGAACACGGCTGTGATCCAATCTCCTGCACGTTTATTTTAAAACCCTGACCTTAGATTATATCGGAGATTGATTTCAAATGGAGAAAGTGAAACAGCGTAAAGAAACATCACAAACTAGTTTCTTTAAAAGAATGAAGAGGACAGGATATTAAAATCTAACCCTTAGCTTCTGTATTAGTTTCCTATTGCTGCTATAACAAACTACCACAGACATAGTAGCTTAAAACAACACAAATTTATTATTTTACAGTTCTAGAAGTCAGAGGTCCGGAATTGGTCTCAGTGGGCTAAAGTCAAGGTGTCAGCGGGGCTGCTTTCCTTTCTGGAAGCTCTAGGGTAGAATTCATTTCCTTGCCTTTTCCAGCTGCTAGAGCCCTGGTAGTGCCGTGGTTAAGCACTCAGCTGCTAACCAAGAGATCAGCGATTGGAAGCCACCAGCCGCTCTGCAGGAGAAAGCTGTAGCACTCTGCTTCCATCAAGATTTACAGCCTTGCTTACTGGCCTGCCAGAGACTGGAGAAACCCCGAGACTATGGCCCCCGGACACCCTTTTAGCTCAGTAAAGAAGTCACTCCCGAGGTTCACCCTTGAGCCAAAGATTAGACAGCCCCATAAAACAAAATGGGACTAATGGGGCACAACAGCCCAGGGACGAGGACAAGAAGGCAGGAGGGGACACGAAAGCTGGTCATCGGGAACCTAAGGTCGAGAAGGGACAGGGTTGACATGTCGTGGGGTTGTTAACCATTGTCATAGGGCAACATACGTACTAACTGTTTAATGAGAAACTATTTTGTTCTGTAAACCTTCATCTAAGGTACAATAAAAAGTAAAAGGAAAAAAAAAATAAAAAGATCACATTTGAACTAAAAAAAAAAAAAAAAAAATTTACAGCCTTGGAAACCCTATGGGGCAGTTCTGCTCCACCCTATAGGGTCACTATGAGTTGGAATCAGCAGTGGGTTAGAGCACGCCCACATTCCTTGGCTCGTGGCCCCCTTCCTCCACCTTCAAAGCCAGCAATGGCGGGTCGAGTCCTTCTCACATCGCATCATTCTGACACTGCCTGCTCTTCTGCCTCCCCTTCCACTTTTCAGGACCCTCATGATTATATTTTCCAGGATAATCTCCTCGTCTCAATGTCAACTGATTAGCAACCTTAATTCCATCTGCTACTTTAATTCCCTTTTGCCACATAAGGTAACATATTCACAAATTCCAGGGATTAGGATGCGGACATCTTTGGTAGAATAACAGCCCCCTCTGAGCAACTTGGGGAGGGCCAAGGCCAGGTTGGGGGACAAGATCCCCTCCAGCCAGGCCTCTGCGGCAAGCCGAGAGCAGCCAAGGAGTAACATGCCCAGAACTGCAGAACAGCAAGACACGAGGCAGACAAGAAACCAGAACAGGAAAGCTCGCAAATCTGGAAGGTATCTCTCCTGGAGGCACAAAGACTGAAGCCAGCGCCCCAACTCCAACTCCCCTGAGCAGCCAGAATGGGCCTCAGCAGCAGCACCTCCACTGAACGCAACTTCAGGCCCTTCCTTAGCAGCCGCTGACACTGCCTCTGTGTGGTTTCTGTGCTTTTTAAACAAACCAAACATGGTTTAGTTACCTGGTTTCCAAGGTGATGGTGGGGAGAGGGATGTGACCTGTGACAACAACGAGGGGGACAAAAGCAATCACAGCAGGTGAGACTAAAAGGCAAAGAGTCCCTAGACCCTCTGTCTGTCAGGTGAATGTCTGGTGCGACCCTGAGCCACCGACGAAAGAGGTCCCCCTCCCTAGGAGCCACCTCTCGCTGCACGCTCCCATCCCATGGACCAGTCACAAACTCAGGCAGGAAGGGTAAAGCAGCTCTGGGCCCACTCTGCAGGTGTCCCTGCAGCCACCAAGGCTTATGCCTGGACCCCACCTGCCAACTCAGTGCCACCAGGACTTAGTGAGCCTCTGCTCTCACCTCCGCCCAACCAAACCCAAGGCCCCTGAAGACCAACCCAACGCAGGGGTCACCCGCTATCACTTGTTTTGCTTGGCCTGCACCGTCTATTTTTTATTGAGATATAATTGACACACCATACAAGTCACCCTCTCAAAGTGTTCAATTCAGTGGTTTTTAAGTACACTCACAAGGCTGAGCAACCATCACCACTATCTAGTTCCAGAACATTCTCATCACCCCAAACAGAAACTCCACACCCATTAAGTATGAACTCCCCACTCTCTCCTCCCCCGGCTCCTGGAAACCACTAATCTGCTTTCTGACTCTATGCAATTGCCTACTCTGGACATTTCATATAAATACCATCAGACAATATGTGGTTTCTCTCACTTAGCGTCATGTTTTCAAGGTTTTCACAGTGTATTTTTCAAGTGTGACTCGGAATGTCTTAGGTGCTGTGAATAATAATCACTAACATTAGAACAGAGCTTGCTGTGTGCCAGGCACTGTGCTAAGTGCTTTACGCTTTTGTACTCATTTAATCCTAACAGCAAGCCCATAAGGTGGGTATGTTGTTACCCTCATTTTATAGGTGAGGAAACTGAGGCATGGAACAGTTAAACAACTTGCCCGAGGTCATCACGGGAGCACTGGGCAGGCTTGCTCCAAAGCCTGCACTCTTCATCTGTAGGCTGGATTATCTCTCTTTAAGGTAGCAGGCACTCATCCGTTTGCCAATGTCTCAGGCTTATTCTCGGCCTGCTTCTCACATGTCTATTACCTGCCCAATACCTGTAGGTATCTGGATTTGTGGCCCTTGCTTTGGTTATTCACACCGACCTGAGTTTAAATCCAGTTCCGCTACAGACTTTGTGTGACCTCAGGTAAGTTACAAAACCTCTCTGGGCCACACAGTTGTCATCTGAGTTATGGGTTACCACCCAGTTACTTCTCAAGGTTGTATGCCAAGGGCCATTATGAACATCAGGAGGTGATATGGGTCATAGTGCCAGCCTTTCAGGGTTCTTACGGGGATACATGTGTGTGACGCACAGAGGCCAGGCCCATGGAAGGCTCTCAGGAAATGGAGCCCTTGTTATGATGATGACCACCCACACCACTGAGACTCCTCTCGGCTGCTCAGAAGACCAGCTTCCATTTCCCTAAGCACATACAGGCCACATATCTGTCCTCAGAGGGGTCTTCAGAACTAGTAAAATACACGGTGGACTGAAAAGCCATCCCTGATTAGGAAGGAATGACTTATTAACTGCCCTGTAAACTCCTGGCAGCCTAAACTCTGTCTCTACTTGCCAGAGTCTGGAGGGCTTTCACAAAGCATGCTTCGATGCGCTTCTGCATGCTTCCGCCCCCACGGAGGCCCAGGGTCAGGACTCCCGTGGCTCTCGGGCAGGCCCACCCGGACCACCGCCCCAGTGCCCCAAGAGAGCCAGCGGATGCCCACCCAGCACCCACTCTGTGTCTGTTCATTTCAACACAGCACCTCAGAAACTGCGACTGCCCTGACCCCAGGAGGAGACCACCAACGTGAAAATGAGATTTGGCATCGTCTTGTGGTCAAGAGATCCTGAAAACTGGGCCCCTAACGTGAAACAAAAGCTGCTTCTGCTTCAGCTTTCTTAATTAAAACAATAAAAAAGGTCACTGGTTATCCCAGCTCTGCCTCTTCCAAGCTATGTGACCACAGGCCTCTCACCTGTAATGCAGCGATAAGACCTAACCTGCAATATTGTTGGGGGAATAAGAAACAATATATGCAAAGCGCCTGGGACACAGCAAGCATGCAGCAGGTAGTAGCTGGTGGCAGGGCTACAGACCTAGGCATGGCCCACACTTGGTCCCCTTGAGACACCTTTGCGCGTTGTTAGGCATGATAATGGAGCAACCTGAGGTTCAGAGGACTTACTTTCCCAAGGGCAGTTGGCCAGTAAGTGGTAGAAGACCAAGATTGCCTCCAGGTCTAAGGCATTAGCGTACTGCTTAAAAGTAGGGACTCTGGAGTCAGACAAATCTGGAACCAAATCCTAGCTCCGCCACTTGATCGCTGGGGGACCTTTGGCAAGTTACTTCCTCTCTGTGCCTCTGATTCCTCATCTGTCAAATGGTCCCACTGATTCCTGACTTCCTCCACCACCCCCTAATTCAACCAGCATAACACATGACAGGGACACTCTGAGACCTGATCATTTCTATTCCTCATTGAGAACAATGTGCATACCATACTGAGGACTCTCAGAAGCTAGCCTTGAAAGACGTTCTTTGTTCCACCTTTTAGGTGCTCCCACTTTCAAATATTCCATGTCATTAGATATAAGTCAATCACATGATTACAGTTTTCCCACCAATGCACTGCAAAAAAAATAAAAATTTTATCCCAACTGGGAAAGATAAAAAAAAAATTCAACAACCCTGCAACCCCTTAGCTTGCTTTATTTCTCCTCATAGCACTGACAATACATGCCACATATTTTGATGTTTGTGCTTTGTCTCTCCCCCCACTAGAGCGACAGCAAGGGACCTTTGGAGACTGCTGAATGGCTCTTTTTGTATCAACTCCACGAGGCTTGGCCACATGAAAAACATTTCTGCATCTTTGGCCAAATTGCCTGGACTAGCACTGTGCGCTGTTTTTTTCAGTGATCCTTATATGACATAAATCTTACTGGAACTCAGTACTAGGACAAAGGTGCTTTTTTGCTGAGCTCATGTTTTTCACTAGCTGATTTTGCCCTCATTGTCAGGATGCTCAGAGCACAATTCTGTGCTCAACTGCAGTGTCTTCTTCAAACACTTTTTCTGATGTGTAGACGGGATATAAATAAGTGTAAGAAGATTCATTTAGTACCCGTTTGAGACCCTATTTTTAACCGCAGGCTGCATTTATTCTAAGAAAATGCTTCTCTTGAATGTGCCAGCGAATTCCCCGGGCTGCCAGTGAAAATGCAGTCGGCCTCAGGAGGCCTGGGGCGAGGCCTGAGATGCTGCCTCCCTAACAAGCTTCCAGGAGATGCCCCGTGCGGCTGGTCCATGGACCTCATTGGAATTGCAAGGGTCTAAGAAACTTGTTCCCTTGATTCGGCGGAATTTCTCTCCCCTCCTCCTTGGCAAAATCTAATCAATGGCTTGAAAACCTGACCGGGCACCAGAACCCCCGGGGAACTGGTTAACCTGTACGCCCCCGTCCCCCGCGATCCTTAGGGAAAGGAGTTCCCCAGGTGCTTCTGCGGCAGGTGGCCTCACAGCAAATGTTGCTGAGCCCTGCTCTAGGGAACGGGTGTCGTCTTCAAGGTTTTCCCAACTCTCCCGGGGACAGCTGTTGCCACGGTGGGGACACCTGCTTGTTCAGGATACTCGGGGGGGGGTGGGGGCCGAAATCATTCTGCTGCTTCTAGCCCCGGAGCCCCGCCCCGGCCACAGCGACCCATGGCGGGGTC